AGGTCAAAGGTCAAGAACTAGGTCAAATCCAGTACTTTGTCATTTTTTTAAATTTTCTTAGTCGTCCTTCAATATTTTTGCTCCGTTTTTAATCATGTTCCTTGGAAAAAAGCTAATCCCTACAGTCAAGTTGTTTTTGATCACTCTTACCGTTTTTGAGATATGGCATCCGAAAAGTAGGTCACAATAAAAACTTGTTGGAATTCAATGTATGAGATTTATGAAATATGTGTAGAATTGTCCAAAGAATCCGAATCTGCAAACCAGATTTGATCCGACTTCCGGTTCGGAAGTTATGGCATTTTGAAATCTCAAAAATCGCTATTTTGGTATCCCATGTTAAGTCAATGGGGCTTGAGAAAATTATCAATTGTAACAACACAACACTAGATACAGCTTGGATGCAGCTAACTTAATAAGAATCTACAATAGAAGCCGTCCTCAAAATCTACTTTCCTTCAAAATTTGGACACAAAAGGCCTAGGTCAAAATCTAGGTCAAATTCATAGTTTTTCCTTTGACAACAACAAATCATATCTGAACCAACAACAAAGGACTCATCTTTCATTGATCTCATATTTACCAATACTTTTGTTTGAAAATCAGGTTATACATTCCTCTGAAGGTTCTACACTGTGTGAGCAGGAGCGTGGGTCCTTTATTTCATCTGTAATGGCATTTTCCAGTTTATATATAGTATTTTCAATTTTTCATGAGGGTGTCTTTAGACTACTTGTAATGGGGTGGCAAATAACTTTAATGAATAAGGAATGTTTATCCGAACAATGTATACAAAGAAAATCTGGCCAGTTGTCCATCAGTAAATAAATCATCATGATAAAAGTATAATTTATTAAAGCATCCATTTGTTACCGTTCTGAATCCAAATGATACATAGGTGCATCCATTTTATACATATATGTTGACGTTTACGAAATGTTTTTCAAATATCTTCCCTATAACAGGAATATGGTAGCTGAAACTTTGACACATTGTCATACTATGTATATTAAATATGTATGCAAGATTTCAAGTCACAATGTTAAGTGGAAACTCTGAGATCACTTACCTCGATTTGCTGTCATATTTTTGCAATGATCCCATTCCCTATAAGGTACGCGAGCACCCACGATACATTACATATAAATGACTGCATCCACATAGATCGACTAGCCACAGTGATATAAGAGTCCTAAAAGCTATACAACGCCACCAATACATGGGCCCCGAATGGCAACGAAGTATAAAAAAGCCATACGAGGCCGATTCCAAGTTTAGTCACTACATTTGGTGTGTAATCGTTTTAAGTCAACCCTAATGCACTTCTAGAAAAAGAGCTTGATCGGAGCATTTTTTGCGGTTTGTTATTTTGGACCAACCTAATTAATTGAGCTACGTGTTGTTCTATAAGTTTATTGCTATTCTTTATGCTAAATGGGTAATAGACATGCAGCATGAAGGCCAAAAACTGGAAGTTTAATTTCCAAAATACCTTATGGATAAATTATATACCGTTGGAAAGCTAATATACTCAGGTGTATGGACCCAGGACTAAATAAGGCTTCAGAGTTGTACGTTTTTTAGGAGACGCTTTTGTAACAGGTGCTTGTTACTAACTAGGCTATAATAAAGATTTTTACGTTTTTGTCTGTAACTATGTCAGTTTCTTTCCGATTTTAATTTGGTTTGCATCATTGTAAAGCTTATCCATCAGAGATTCGAGCAGAGTGCTCAATATGCAAATTAGCTCATTTGCATACCTATTGTGACGTCATAACTCATTATGCATGTCAACACTTATAAATAAGTTTTTAAGTACAACACAACATAACTTTTTAGTTAGAATATACTTTAAATTCTACTCTGACTCTTTTCAATCTTGTTTTTGTGTACAATACTCACTTAGATAGATAGAATAGCTCAGTGTATCTGAAACAAATTGTTTTAGGCTGTCCATCACCGCCACATCCGCTGTATACTTCCAATCCACCATGGTGCTGCCTTGAAGAAAACAATATTCCCGTATGGCACCGGCCGCTTCAAAATAACCAGACTGAGTACAACTGTATGATGATTGAGATGAGGAACGGGAAAAGCGTTGTAACAATAAACATAAAGTGGTGTCCAGATGGGTTCATCTTTAGAATAGAAGGCTACAATAACTGCACATGTGGTATATATACATGTATTATTCAATCATTATCTTCGGAGTAAAATCATATTTGCATTTACCAGGTCGTTCAATAAGTTTACGGAAATGCTCTCATTTCAAAGATTTTTATATTTTCTCATGAAATTTTCATATACTGTTTAAAATGTATTTTGTTATTGATTCATCAAATAATAGCCTTGCCCAAGTCGGTATTTTTTACTTATCTGATCTTGAATTATTACCGCCTTGTACAAACCAATGCATCATCGCTGATATTATGATAAGTTATTCAGCGGTTTCGAGATTTCCATAATTCCTACACTGTCAGGTGAATCGCGAAACCGTATTGATTGACAGATCGCGTGGACACGACGTGTGACTTCAGGCTGATTGACCAATCAAAAGATTTTCAGGTTTACCGTTGTAAAAGAAATGATGGTCCCCCAGGGATTATGGTCCCTTTCTTAACGGCCCGTACTGGCCCTGATTGCGTATAAGATAATGAGGGAAAGAGTTGTATTGAGGTCACCATATAAATCAATGGAGAGTAGGACCATAATTTGAGAGGACCTCTTACCCTTTTACACCGGCATAAACAAAGCAAACTACCCGTCTACGACTATGACCGAAATTCGATGATCCGATCGAGTATTTCTTCAGAGTTACAATATATCATGTAATTAAATGTACATTGGAATGTAAGCAGTCATTAATACAAATTCGAACATGACTGTTTTCACGCCTTCTATAAACTGTCAATGCTTCAGCTGGGTTATATTCGAGATCAATAACCCAGTTAATACGTGTAATGTGTGACGTCATAACGGTGGGTCGTAGTAATGGCGGACCATGATGAATATTCGAAACAATTTGTTGAGTTTTCATGTTCGAATCGTAATATAAACCTCAGAGCAGGGGTAATATCGTCGAATACACCCCTTGGGGCTAGGCACAAAAGCTTTCGAACCCCTCACTCCCTTCGGTCGTTCTGGGTACAGAAAACGCTTGTGCCTAGCCCCTGCGGGGTGTATTCGACGATATAACCCCTGCTTTTCGGTCTGTATTTCTTAATTAAATCATGCGATCCAATGTTGATTTAAAACTGAATTCGCGATGACAATGCACGAAGACCTAGTTCATGTAGTCGTCGATCTAATTCAGTGATTGATCTGAATCTAGTGTTCGACAATTTCAGAGATCTTTTCAACGTTTCTTGTTGAAATCTCACCTCCGGGTATCCGATTGATGCTCCGGCATCCACTAAACTCAGATTGATATTTATCTTATAAAATATATTTTTTCATGATGAATTGTGCAAGTTTTGCCGAAGGATTTGTTCGTGAAAAGTGTACTTGTCTTGACCGTGCATGATAATGAGCTAATGCTACAGGGCCGTCGTTGATTGGTCAAATTTACCGACATAAACATTGAGTCGGTTAAGCACGTGGCTTTCTCATTGGTACAAGGCGGTCATAATAGAAATCAAGATAAGTAAAACAGACCGACTTGGGCAAGGCTAATCAAATATCAGCATCTCTTATTTGATTGTTCAAACATAAAGGTTACTATGGTAACTTGATTTTTGGGTAGACGGGGCACTTTTAACGTCACATTATTTATTTGAAAAACAACAGAATAGTAGGCAATATGAGTGTATCACATGCATTTTCTCTTCTCCGCTTTCTACGTGTACATGATATACCTTAATACAATAATCACAAATATTGTCCCATAAGGTGTTCGAAATATTCTCCCTCATGTTTAACGCACAGTCGCTGTCATTCAACCTATTTACGATACAGTGCTCTGGAGCCATCTGGGAAACTTGTTTGAAGGGCCATCTGGACTCCAGTCGAAAGTTGTTGCATTGTTCCATAGCGTGCACCTCTTAGTTAACCCATCATCATATTGAAAACAGAAAAAATCAAAAATTTCCAACACAATATTAGCAGTCTGGCCGGGTGTATATCCCGATATAAAAAATTAGAGACTGGCTGAATGGTTAAGTTCTAATCAACTTACCATAAAGCATAATACTCTTTGTTGATTTACTGGCCTACTAGTACAGCATTGACTAGCAGGATCCCGGAAATGTTTATGAAAACTATGAGGATCAATATTTCCGCAGAACGTTTGCAAATATTGATAGATTTCTGTAATGGTAAATTGTGTGGCGTAAAAGTGCCCCGCCTACCAAAAAGTCAAATTGCCATTGTAACCCTTTTTTACCAATGAAATTAGAGAAGCTGATATTTTTAGAATTAATAAGGAAATATCTGTATACATCGTGTGAAAATATCAAATATCTTTGAAATGAGAGCATTTTCCGTAAACTTATTGAACAATCTGGTACGTGTGTAAAAAATAATAAATCTAGTAAAAATCATAAAATAAAATAGAAACTAGTGTAGGTCGGGTTAGAAAGTCGTTCATATTTGGAGTTTTCTTCCTGTTTTTCAAAATAACCAGAAAGATCAGTATTGGAATGCCAAAACGTGAAAATCCTCTGAGGTAGAATTTGCCTGATATGACAGTAAAGCGCGTATCTGAAGGTTTTTTGAATTTTTAAAATGTTCAGTTGAAATCAATTGTACTATTCTATCGTGATTACGAAAGGATTAGCTTTTAACGTTAAAATGTCAAAAACCTGTGTATTACATATAAAACGCATCACTATGGATTGCAGTTAATTGTACATGGTCTATATGGTTGTGGTCAGACTGGATTTGCGACCCTTGTCCCACTGGGTGTCATGGCGCACATTTTGTGACATGTAGACGGACTGGGACCCGGACGCGATCATCTGATTGTCCAGCTCCTCATATTGAGACACAAACTCAAACTAAACAAAAAATTTGCTCTGGTTCACCATGTAAGTTATCCCCAGCTTTTGTTCTGGGACACATGTAAAATGAGCTCATAATGTAACTGCCATAGTTATCCACTTTACTTCAACCTGTTGGATTCAAATTCGATCTATAATTTGTAAATGTTAATTCAATTCGTTTTTTGCATTGCCCACCCTATATATTTGTGTTATTTGTTATATCTGTCTAATACGTTCTGCTACTGTATTTAGAATGACAGGAATAAATAGAGTGCAAAATAATGGATGTTTAAAAAATTAGCAAAATTAGAATTTGTAAAAGATAAATATTTAATTAATATATATAATTAATTTAATCATAATGTAGGCTGTAGATGGAGTGACTGGGGACGATGTGAAGCCTCGGGAAGATGTTCTTCAACATGTGGAACTGGAAAGAAATATGGAACTCGAACACGGACGAAACAAATAGGGCTGGGCGATTCCTCTAGGTGCAATGGTCCCTCAATCAAGCCTTGTTATACACTTTGCGAGAACCCACCTTGCGGTAAGAACAACTATTTATTTCAGCATCGAATTATTGTACGTAACCGTCCTTGATCGATGATTCATTAGAAGCAAGACTCATATTGAAAGAACAATTCGATCGTTCCATCTATAATTTTATATTTCTACGTCTACGGCCTACATAATGAGATCTTACCCTACTATCACACCAAACTAGTTCTCACTACGTTCTCGAAAACGGGCTTAAACTGTGCACGAACGGATTTGACGTACTAAGAACCCACTAAAAACCGTTTGGGATCTGTTTACAAACTTCATAAAACTACTCGAACGAGTAGGTCCTCCAGAACTTAGAGCATGCTCAATATTTTCTGGTGATCGTCACGTTCTGCAATCAGAACGAGTGACAACGTACTTAAGACGACCTGGACGCACTGGGGACACACTACGAACGGAAGTGTCGTACTTCAATCCTACTAGGGACGTATTACGACGTTGTGTAGTCAGGCGTAAATTGCAGCCGTGAGTATCCAATCTAGTCCGTTCGTAGCTCGTTCATTCTGTTCGTAGACAGATCCAACTCGACCGAATAACGTCCTTCCCGTTTATAAAGGTTCACAGTAGGTTCTCATAAAGTTCTCAGAATGTCCGTGTAGATCAATCGTATGGAATTTTGGTGGACAATTCAAGAACATATAAGAACGTATTGAGAACGAGGTACAACTAATTGTCAACTGGTTTGAAGTGATTAAGGACGTAATTGAACTGATTGGATACGTTGTGTAGACGAGACGAACGCACAGTTTTACCCGATCTAAACTTGATACTAACGTACTGCAGACGGAATAAAGACGAGATGAACATATATTAAAAACTGCTTATGAACGAATTAACAAAAGTAGCTATCACACAGGAACCAGTTGTCACTGCGTTCTTCAAAACGTTGCCGAATCGATTTTAAACTATGTGCGGAACTGAATGAAGGTTTATTCCCATTTCGCCCCTTCCCTTTTCGTCCCTTCCCAGGCCAAGGGGCCAATTGGGAAAGGGCGAATTGGGGAGTGGCGAAGGGGAAATGAGGGGCGAAATGGGAAGGGGGCATAATAGGACGGGGGCGAAATGGGAAAGGGGCAGTTTGGGAAAGGGGCAAAATGGGAAGGGGCGAAATGGGTAGGGGCGAAATGGGAAGGGGCGAAATGGGAATAAATGAGGGGTGAAATGGGAAGGGGCAAAGTGGGAAGGGGCGAAATGGGAAGACACCCTGAATGAACGTACCTACAACGTTCTACGGTCTGTTTACGAACTTCATGGACTTTCCCGGTCGGGGAATGTGATTCAGAATTTCGAATCGATTCAAAATTCGATGGCGACCATACCGTTCTGTAATCAGGTCATGGTGACCTTCTAGACTAAGGGGCGCGTTATACGACGTTGCCCACCGACGTTGTGCGACCTGAACGAGCTGCGAATGAGATGGACGTATTGAAGACTGTTCATGATGAACGAAGTAGCTAATTATTTTAGACATATTTCCCGACCACAGTCAGATTGAGCCCGTTTCACGACGTTTTCGTAGGACTGGCAAGAACGGGTAAGAACTAGTTTGGTGTGGTAGTGTGGTAGGGGGTTAAGTGACATTAATTAATGAAAAGTAGAATATTTCAGACGATATATACATTTTCCGAAAAAGTTGGCTTTTGAAAAGGATGTATTGTTATGACTTCAGTATGAATGAAATGTCCCTTGGTCTTGTGGTCTTGGATTGTGATATTGATTCTTGAATGGTGGGGGGAAAGGGGGTATTAGACATTGTTTCTTTTCACGTTAGATCATGGTTTTGGGCTATATGGGGTTTGTTTTTCTTGACTGGTATGCAATTAAAGTTTGATTTTTCTTGCTAAGTTCCATTACAACTTTTGGTCTTTTCCCTTTGGCACTTGTGCTTATATATTTGTTTGTCTTTTAGTGTTCATATATTTAAATGAAATATTCATTTTGGTACACATCTTCATCTGAGTACATATAATTTTGATGAACAAATGGGGAGGAATGATGCTGAAAGACAGTTTATTACTGTAACATTTAAATTTGATCTCTATTCTTTATTTGAATTTGCGTATTTATGTTTTCCTAACAATTAATACATGTGTTTTGGACTCGGTCTGCCTTAAACGTACAGAATGTTGAATGTTTCAGGCAATATTTTCGAAAAATCAATAAATTATAATGTAGGTTGTCATTAGATTTAACTTTCATGTAGGCTGTAAATGGAGTAATTGGGGACAATGTAAAGCCTCCGGAAGATGTTCCTCAACATGCGGGCCAGGAAAGAGATATGGAACTCGAACTCGAACGAAACAAATGGTATTAGGAGGTCCACCTGATTGTATTGGTGCCTCAAGTCAGACTTGCTACACACCCTGTGACAATCCACCTAACGGTGAGATAAAAATCATAATTTCGATTGGAATACTTATATCTTAAAAAGACAATGACAAATTGATTGCCATAGCAACTTGATGACAGGCGCGTTGACACAGACATCAATTTTACTCAATTTTGATAATATGATAATATGGGTTATATTGTGGGGATTTACATGATTTTTGAGTTATGCATTCTCCATTAAATTAATGCCAGTTTGTTATTCAAAATATGTCCTGTATAGTGGTTACATTCATAGTATTGTTCATTCACAGTATGACCTCATAATAGTCCTAATTAAGATGATCTTCAGGATGTCTGTGATCTCCACGAGTCTCATGTGAAAAGTCTGCAAAAGTTAAAAACGTCATCAGAAAACAGGTTTTGTGGAAATGGGAAACTTGTTGCAACAAGCAACATGGGTGCCATACTTTAAAGCAGTCCATATAGATTGGACAGAATGCAGAGTAGATTTAAAAATGTAGACCTTAATCATTTTTCACCAAATTAAATTGTACAACATTTCCATGCTATTGGACTCCTAAAGGATCAACAGTTTCATTATGACAAAAAAATGCTAAGGGCAGTCAGATTCGAAATAAAGTTAAGTAAGATTCGATTGGCCAAACTTAATGTTTTCCAAGAATGGGTGGCTAAACAACAAAAATGCATTGAAGCAGAAACAGATTACTTTTAAGTGAATATTATATCCACTGGGCATGGACCTAGAGTGCCGGATATATATATTTTATCACTTGCAGAAGTGGCATGCTCAGAATTAAATGTTCCTAATTGTTGTTAGATGTGACATTATAGATGTTGTGTCAAGGACCATGTTACAAAATCGAAATGTATACGATAAAATTAACTATTTTTATTCATGAGAAATGAAAGTTATTACATGCCTGATAATATGTGAAAAAATCTAGAAGGATTGGTTAAAAACTGTAGAAATGGGAGACCTAGTGCCATTACTTAGTGAACACCCTGTATTTATATGCAGGAATGAATAAGGAAACCAAGATGTAATCGATTCACTCTATAAGTTCTATTTCAATTTAATTTTTGCTCACCTCGTTTATTCGTGTTTTTGATTATTTCAATCTAAATCAAACTACGGACTGTTGATCAAATCGGGAGTGTAAAATGATGGAGGCAATATTTTCGGATTATAAGCTAAAGATCTCTTACACGTCGCACGAAACTGGGGACAATTAGCGTAACATTATGGCGTCATAATGCCAAAATAAAACAATGAGCAAACAGCTTTATAACGTCAAAAACGGCAAGCGTTACATTTTGTCAAGTTTAGTCAACCTAGATATAAAATACTTTATCCTTATTCAATCCTAATAAAATCCACAAAGTAGCAAGATCTCGAGGACAGTTTTTCTAAAATGTTTTTGAATTTTTAAAAACGGCCGGGACATTTACTTGAAGCGTTAGTAAAAATTGATATGCATGGAATCTGAGGTAAAAAAAATGGATGCGTTACATTTTTTCAAGTCTCGTAAATCAGCTCTTATTTCAATATTATTTGTAAAATCCATGAACCGATAATATTTTGCAGTTAATATTTTATTCAAATCTTAAATTAGAAGATTAAATAAAGGTAAACGTCTCGCTCATCCCCTTCGCCTTCAAAATCGTCCATATAAGAAAATTCCAACTGTGGTCGTTACGCAGCTGTGACGTCATGAATGCTCATGGTCCATTGAACAAAATGTGAACTTTTAGTGGTGTTTTGATTATTATTTCAAATGTTCTCTCAATTTCAACTAACCTAGAAGCGTTTCTCACAGCTGGGGACCAAAACGCCGCAAAAATGAGGGATCCTGTATAACAGAATATTGTTCTGAAGAATCTTCTGAGTATCAGAGAAATTAAGTTCCTCTTCATCACTCGATTCATCAGGAATGGTATCTTTGTTCTTCCTTTCCTCTAATATGCGTTGTCTCCTTTTTGGAGGTATGGTATAATGGCATTTACTAGAGTTTCAATAATATGTTACCCGATTCCCTTAAGTTACTCGGGGTCTTAGTTTCACTCGACACTTTCTATTTGATATTATATCCTAGCACTATAAATATCATTTTTAAATTGTACTATATTAGATGTAAATAAAATGAAACTGAGCAGTTACGTTTGTACAGCTGTAATGTATGGTCAACGTACGTTTGTCGCAGGGCCACGTTGAATCTGCTTATGTATCCGGAAAAAAACTACGCCTTCCGTAGGGAGACCGTACGGCGACCGCGATTCACCATTTAACACACGGCAACCTTGCACGACAACCTTGGTTTCTATATCATCAAAATTCGCCGTGCGGCTGCCGTAGGGAATGCAAAAGTATCCGACCGCAGAAATTCTACGGCGAGCGTAGAAATGTTACTGACCGCAGAAATGACAGACCGCACGGCGGCCGTAGCAAATGTGACAAGGGTGTTAAGCGTTAGTCCCCGCCTTATTATAAAAGCTAACCATGTGTTTCATATATCATTTTAAAGTATTTTTATGCGCATTTCAGTGATACTAATTTTCCCCAAAAAAAGTTGATGTGATCTACTTTATTTTTAAACTTGTAAACCCCTTCTCACAAATTGCAATTTTGACTTGCCTCAGACACTTTCAGAATAAATATGATAATATATGATATGTGATTTGTGGATACGTGGATTAGACATCAAAAGGACATTTATGAACCTTCTGCCTATTGCAAGCCCAAAAACCGAGCTGGATCTTCCGGGAAATCGGGTCAATCGTCTTGCAAACTTGTTCACAACAAAGATGACAAAAACCTGTTTCCAAAGGTACATTACCCATCAAACCCCTGCGGCAGACGCAAGTCGACCGTAAGCCCGACGTGCGGCCGCCGTGGAACCTTTCTGCAATCTGGCTACGACTTGTTGATTTCTACGGGGACCGCAGAAATTAAAAAAATATTATAACTCCGAGTTATAATTTCTACGCCTACCCTGCGGCCTGTAAAAATGTGCATACACCGTGCGGAGACCGCAAGGCGAGCGTAGATTTCCAACGCTCTCGCCACAGAAATTCACTGATTAAATTGATATGCGGTCGATGTACGACTGCCGTACGACAAATGTGACTGGGGTGTAATGGTGACATTTCCCCGTATTTCCCGAATTGTCCCCAGGTCCGTGCACGTCATATCTATATAATTAATTTTCAACTTATCTAATAATGTAGGCTGTAGATGGAGTAATTGGGGACAATGTAAAGCAACGGGAAGATGTTCTTCAACATGTGGACCAGGCCAACGATATGGAATTCGAACGCGAACAAAACAAAATGTCCCGGGGTGTTCAAAATGCATCGGTGCCTCAAGTGAGACTTGCTACACACCCTGTGACAATCCATCTAACGGTGAGATAAAAATAAAAAGGAATGTATATAAAAGAAACCAAGCTATAATAGATTTAACTCTATCATTTTTATTTCAATTTAATTGTTGCCCATTTTGTTTATTCGTGTTTTTTTTAGCTCACATGGTGAGCTTTTGCAATCGCTCACTTGTCCGTCTGTCCGTGCGTCCGTGCGTGCGTGCGTGCGTCAGGCCGTACGTCCGTCAACAATGGTGGCACGTTTTAAAACCTCTGTCGAACGGATTCCTGTTTTTAGTTATTTCTGTTCAACATCAATACAGAAAACTCCCCTATGACTCCTGGTTCAAAAGCTCGCCTATTTTCAAAATGGCCGCCATTTTTGTCTCACGAAATTCACTTTTGACCCATTTCCTAGCTTTACAAATAATTTAAGATGTCCTACATTGTAAAAATCCAAGTCAATGTAAAGAGTAGATATACACTCCCCTCCATAAGTTTGGCAACCTTTTTTCTCCATTGAACTACGTGTCAAAGACTCTTTATGTTTGAATTTTTATTTACTTAACCGGCGATGAAATAACTTATAATATTGATGGAAACGTAACTTGACTTAATTTCCAATACCTCCAAATTTTTTCAATTTTTTTTCTCAATTACAATAGGTCGAAAATTGATGATAAATTTGATGAATTTTTGAAAATCGTCATTCCCATGTAATCCAATGGGAAATGGAGGGTTCGGGGTAAATCAGAAATCGGGATATCTTTTCAGTAAAAGATTGAGCAAAAAATATTTTTATATAGAAAATTGAATTGTCTAACTTTTTTGAACACTAAGTGTTTAGTTTATTTGATGAATATTAAAGTTACAGCGCTTCAAAGTCATTTTTGAAAAGAATTTTTCGCCTCCTGTGTTATTTCAATGGGAGAGGTTTTTTGAAAAACAATTTTGACTTTAAAGCCCTATAACTTTGTTGAACCTGAAGAAACATATCAATTTTTTGTTAAATAAAGTTAGCAAATTCAATTACCTGCCTAACTCGTATTTTTTGCAAGGACTCGGATGGATGGATATTCTGTCATATGACTTGCGGCAAACCTACCATTTCCCATTGGTTAACATGGGAATGTCGATTTTCAAAAATTCATCAAATTCATCATCAATTTTAGACCTACTGTAATTGAGGAAAAAATTGAGAAAATTTGGAGGTATTGGAATTAAAGTCATATTACGTTTCCATCAATAGTATAAGTATTTTCATCGCAGGTTAAGTAAATAAGAATTCAAAGGTAAAGAGGCTTTAACACGTAGTTCAATGGGGGAAAAAAGGTTGCCAAACTTATGGAGGGGAGTGTATGTTTGTTTTTGTTTGTTTTTATTTTTTATTTATAGTAATAAGTCTATACATGTACTATATGAAATAATTTTGTTACAAAAAATCAGCGAAAATTTATATCCATTTTTTTCAGCCATATTAGTTAACATTGATTTGTCAATCTGACTCGCGAAATTCACTTTTCCGTCAAAAACAGTGGCACGTTTTAAAACCTCTGTCGATAGGATTCCTGTTTTAAGTTATTTCTGTTCAAAACCAATACAGAAAACTCCCCTATGACTGCTGGTTCAAAAGCTCGCCTATTTTCAAAATGGCCGCCATTTTTGTCTCGCGAAATTCACTTTTGACCCATTTCCTAGCTCTACAAATAATTTCAAGTGTCATACATTGTAAAAATTCATGTCAATGTAAAGACTAGATGTATGAAATAATTTTGTTACGAAAAATCATCAAAAACTTATATCCATTTTTTTTTATTTTTAGCCATTTTAGTTAACATTGATTTGTCCATCTGTCTCGCAAAATCCACTTTTGGACCATTTTCCTTCAACCCTCTGTCGATAGGACTCCCGTTTTCAGTTAGTTTTGTTCAACATCAATACAAAAAACTCTCCTATGACTCTTGGTTCAAAAGCTCGCCTATTGTCAAAATGGTCGCCATTCTTGTCTCCCAAAATTCACTTTTGGCCCATTTCCTTCCTGTAAAGAGTAGTTGTATGAAATAATTTCCTACAAAAAATCGGCAAAATATTATATCCGTTTTTTTATTTTCAGCCATTTTAGTTAACATTGATTTGTCCATCGGTCTCGCGAAATCATCTTTTGGACCATTTGCTTAAAACCTCTGTCGATAGGATTCCAGTTTCAAATTATTTTTGTTCAACATCAATACAAAAAACTCCCCTATGACTCCTGGTTCAAAAGCTTGCCTATTTTCAAAATGGTCGCCATTTTTGTCTCGCGAAATTCAATTTTGGCCCATTTCCTAGCTTTACAAATAATTTCAGGTGTCCTGCATTGCAAAAAGCCATGTTACTGTAAACAGTAGTTGTATGAAATAATTTTGTTACAAATAATTGGCAAAAATTATATCCGTTTTTTCAGCCAATTTACTTAACATCGATTTGTCCATCTGTCTCTCAGTCAGTCCAAAATAGTGGCAATTGGCTTGAAATAATTTTGTTACAAAAAATCAGCAAAATATTATATCCGCTTTTTCTGTCATTTTAGCCATCATTCACTTTTGAGCAACACCATGTGAGCCCAGTACCCACGGTACTAGTTTTATTGCGTCCATCTAAAACAAACCTGATGATTAATTTATTAATTTAATTACCTGGCGATATTTGCGGAATATAAACAAAAGACCTCTTTATAATTAAAAACTTATTTTATAATATAGGCTGCAGATGGAGTAATTGGGGACAATGTCAAGCCTCGGGAAGATGTTCTTCAACATGTGGACCAGGAAAACGATATGGAATTCGAACACGAACAAAACAAAATGTACCAGGGTGTTCAAAATGCATTGGTGCCTCAAGTGAGACTTGCTACAGACCCTGTGATAATCCACCTTGCGGTGAGTATAAAGTGATAGTTTCACATCGAATAGTATTCCACGATCATATGAGAAGATTAATAGAAAGGTATTGGGACTTGCTACGTACCCTGTGACCAAAATGATATTTTTACAACGAATAGTATTCCCTGGTCATATGAGAAGAGATGTGGTCATTAAGACTTGCAATCTTAAACGATATGTATTAGGACTTGCTACGCACCCTGTGACAATCCACCTTGCGGTGAGTATAAAATGATATTTTCACATCGAATAGTATTCCCTGATCATATAAGAAGAGACGTGCACAGATATGACATTAATTGACAGAGCACATTTTTTTCCCACCGAACGAAGTTATAGGAAATCCGTCTGTCCGTTCGTCCGCTCGTCCATCCGTTCGTCCGTCCGCCCGGGCAATAACTCAAATACCTTTTGACGGATTTGATTCAAATTTTATGACCTCATGCCTTATGGGTGTAGGACCTCTACTCGAGAAGGAATTTTCAATAAGGCCTCTAAAATCAAAATGGCGGCCATTGTTTGTAAAAAATATAACCTTTGATTATTTAAATACTAGTGAACCGATTTGGTTCAAATTCTATATGCTATCGTAAGCTTTGATAACTCAAATACTAGTGAATGGATTTAGTTCAAATTTCACATGCATATGCCAAGATGGCGGCTAAATTTCAAAATGGCCACCATTTTTCGTAAAAGAACGTAATCTTTGATAACTCAAATACTAGTCAACTTATTTGGTTAAATTTTATATGCTGTTGCCTAGAGACAAAGAAGTCTGCTCAAGAAGACATTTTCAAGATGGCCACTGAATTACAAAATGGCCGCCATCTCTTGTAAAAACGTAATCATTGATAACTCAAATACCAGTGGATGGATTTGGTTCCAATTTTATATGCTGGTGTCCAAGGAAGAAGGAGATCTGCTTCAGAGGAAATTTCAAAGATGTCAGCCGAATTTCAAAATGACCGCCATTTTTCATTTTATTTTTCATTTCAAGTTGATATGCTGATGCCTAGAATTAAAGAAGCTTTGCTCGAGAAGAAATTTTCAAGATGGCCGCTATTTATAAAATGTTACGCCATTTTCATAAAAAAATGTAGTATTTGATAACTCAAGTACCAGCAGACAGATTTGGATCAAATTTTATATGCCGATGCCTACGAACATAGGAGCTCTTCCCAAGAAATTTTTTTAAAGGTGGCCACAATGTTTCATAAAAAAATAATCTTTGATAACTCAATAACCAGTGGATGGATTTGGTTCAAATTTTATATGGCCGCTATTTCTCAAAACATATTTTGTTCTGTGGAATTTGCTATTCCGTGGAGTTGCTGTTTTTTTAGTTTAGGTTTGATTTCAATTCTAATTTGTGTATTAGTTTTTTGGTCACCTAAATTATTTTGGTTATTGATCATAACTTTCTTAACGTATTGTTCAACTTAATTTTTAATAGAAGTAGCAGCAAAATTCGACATTAACAAAATGTAAATGAAATGTTAAATCAAAAATAATAGCTCTCAAAGAGTGCATATAATTTATAGTCTAAACGGGCTCACCTTTACTATAGGTTGTTTAAAATAGCCTGTGGGTAAATGTTAAATTAAAAAACACATCTGTTTTATATGGGGTGCATTATCGCTCCCTTAGCATGAATGCAATCCAAGAAGCGGCTTATTTTGAAGAGTTTAAAGAGAACTTAAAACTTGCCTCCAAATTTAAATGTGACTATTTGATCATAAATGGAGATTTTAATTGCAAAAATAAAAAGTGGTGGAATGAAGGAACAACTGATTCAAAAGGAGCAAAATTAGATACCATACTTTCAGAACTTAACCTTTTCCAATTAGTCAAGGAACCTACTAAAATCACTAGAAATTCAAGAACTTGCATAGATCTTTCAATAACAGACAAAGCATTTCTGGTTAAAGAAATATCAGTCATTGATCCAATCGGAAACACTGATCATTCAACAATTTTGACCACTCTTCCACTTAAACTAGACAAAAAACATGTGACTAAAAAAACAATATGGAATTATGATCTTGGAGATGTAGATAAAATAAACTCAAATATCAGCGATATCGATTTGACCGACATTTTCATAAATAACAATGAAAATGTGAACTTAACTACTGAAAACTTTACTCGCGATGTTTTTGACATTTTTCCAATAACATTCCGCAGAAAACTTACATAACCAAGGCAAATGACCAGCCATGGATTAACAAAAAAATCAAACTTGAGATCAGAAAAAAAGAAAAACTTTTTCGTAAGTCAAAATCAAATGATGACCCTGTTCATTTTGAAAATTATGCCAATCAAGCAGAGCATGTAAAGACTCTTATTAAAGAAGCAAAATTAACTCATGAGGACAAATTAGTCCAACAACTTAATGAGTCCACATGTAAGGGCAAGCAATATTGGAATATTGTAAACTCATTTCTCTCCAAAAAATTCAATGACTGTCTCCCTTGTCTCAGAAGTGAAACTTCATGTTCTATTGCTACATCTGACACTGAAAAAGCCAACCTTTTCATGAACCTTTTCTCTGGCAAATATCACCATGATGAGCTTCATGGGGATATGGTCTTTCCTAATTTTCCAAAAAGGTGCAATCAAGAAATTGACAATATTACGACAACACCTGATGAAATAAATAAAATCATACAGTCTCTTGAACGTGACAAAGCATGCGGTCTTGATGGAATAAATAACAGAATGGTGAAAATTGCCTCAGCCACTCTATCAATCCAACTTTCTTCGCTTTTTAACTTCATTTTCCAAAAGTCAGAATTTCCTGACTGTTGGAAGTTGGGAAATATTTCTCCAATTCATAAGAAATCTGACCGGTCATTCGTTGAAAACTATAGGCCGATAACATTATTAAGCACTTTCTCCAAAATTTTTGAAAAGGTACTCCATGCTAGAATCATGAAACACCTTATGGATAATGACCTCTTATACAAGTTTCAGTCAGGTTTTCTCCCAGGCCACAACACAGAACTTCAACTTTTAGCAATAACTGACTATATTTATCATCAAATGGAACAAGGAAACTGTATTAACTCGGTATATCTCGACATTTCGGCTGCGTTTGATACCGTCCTGCATTCGCTCTTAATACACAAAATGAAATCTTATGGAATTAACGGCAAAACAATTGATCTTTGTGATTCTTACCTGAGGAATAGAAAAGTTTGTGTATCAATCAATGACCAACATTCTAAATTCTCAGACAACAACTTCATAAACTCTGGTGTTCCTCAAGGCTCAGTAATAGGCCCCCTCATGTTCCTCATCTATATAAATGACCTCCCAGACAACTTAGACTCTGAAGCATACATATATGCTGATGATACATCTCTATATTCATTTTTTCATCCATCAAATGCTCAAACAGATCAGATTCAAAATGATCTTAATAAAATTAATCTGTGGTCAAAGAAATGGTTCCTTAAATTCAAACCTTCCAAAAGTGCCCAAGTCATATTCCACTCAAACCGGATCAAAAACTTCCAAAAAACGCCACTTTATTTTGACGGAGAAGTCATTCCATGTAAAACTTCACACAAACATCTTGGATTTATCCTTGATGAAAATTTGACTTATGAAGACCATATTAACTATCTTTCACGGAAAGTTCAAAAACTCCTTAATCCACTCAAGTATCTGTCAAATAGTGTAAGATCCAAACACCTTGAAACAATGTATAGCTCCTATGTAGCATCAAATTTTGACTACTGCAGTGCCTTGTATGGGTCTGCCTCATTAGCCCTATTAGCAAAACTTGATAAATTGCACTATCAAGCAGGTGTAATATGTGCAGGTGTTCTTCATGGCTCAGATACCTCCAAAGTTCTTCAATGCCTTAACTGGAAAACCCTTAGTCAAAGGAGAAATGAAAAAAATGTTCGGATAATGTTCAAAATAAACAAAAGAAATGTAGCACAATATATATGCGACATATTTGACAAATATAAAAACCCAGCCACCAGACTACTGAGACATTCTATGCCTTACAATATTCCAACTAATGTTTCTATCAGACTCCTTAAAGCCCCTGTCTTAAATATTATAAAAAATGGAACAACCTTAGCCAACTTATAAGAGAATTACCAACCATCTCTAGTTTTAAAAATGCTGTTCGGTCAACAATTCTCCGAAACATAAATTTCATTCCAACAACCAAGCTAAACTTAACAAGGTCAAATGAGAAGATTTTAAACAGACTTCGTGTCGATTTATTTTTAAAAGAACACTTTTTCTCTCATAATTTTATTGGTGTAACCGACAACAAGTGTCCATGTGGATCCCCTGAAAATACTAAGCACTTTCTCCTTTCTTGCCCCCGCCATACTGATGATAGGACAAACATGATTACTGCACTTAGACAAAACAACCTTCTCTATGATGAGAACATCTACACCAACCGAAATGATCAAGTCAAATATCTCCTCTATGAAAATACCCTTAGCCGTGATTCACAAAACTTACTTCTTAACATTGTGCTCAACTTTGTTAGATCATGTTACATTTACCCATTGAGAATCTAAAACTTGCCCAAACCTCCTGGACCAAAATATCCCCAACAACTAAGCAACTAAGCAATCAACAACAAAACTTTTCAATAGTTTTATGCACTTTTTTTGTTTTATTATTACTTGCTTCTAAACTATATTTATGTTAAAGCGACCTGTAATGCCAAATGGCGATTGGTCTTGCTTTCTTGTACTTTGTAAATTACTATGATTTAAGAATAATAAAAACATTAATAATAAAAAAAATGTTAAATCAAAAATAATAGCTCTCAAAGAGTGCATATAATTTATAGTCTAAACGGGCTCACCTTTACTATAGGTTGTAGATGGAATGATTGGGGACCATGTAGAGACTTTGGTAGATGTTCAGCAACATGCGGGCAAGGAAAGAGATATGGGACCCGAACCCGAACGAAACGAATTGTATTAGGTCCATATCAATGCAATGGTGCCTCAATCGAGACTTGCTACAGACCCTGTGACAATCCACCTTGCCGTGAGAATCAAATTATAATTCCAAAACAAATACCACTACGTTTCTGTCCTTAAGAGATAAACATATCTTCATTAGGAAACTTGACCGTATATCATTACGGTATCCCATAAAGGAATTAAAACATAAAATTGAAACAGAATTCAAACTCTAAGGGAAAGGACGATATGTTCACCATTATACGTACGTATATATAATAACTCAGCTGTCTTACTAACAGAAACCTGGTTTCAAATATCAAATGTTATGTAAGTGTTCAAAATGATTTTGTCAATGCTCTCCAATTTATATCTTTCTTTTCAGAGATATGTCCTCCGAGGAGTCACTGGAAATATGACGCTTCTCCTCCATGGTGCTGCATCGACGCAACCTGGCATCAACCGTATCAAAACAACCTTTTCAAGTGTGAGAAGATCTCAGATGGTTTGGAAATAATAAAGTCTTGTCCACGTGGCGAAAAGTTCAAGATATTTGCTTGGGATCATTGCTATTGTTGTACGTGCTTATTTGTTGTTATCAAACATCATTATCAAGTGCGCATCAAGACTGATGTAAAAATGTCGGATCCATTTGAGACTGATGATGTTTAATTATTTTTGAAAACAGTCGGGAAATTTTAATCACAGAATGCTCCATCACGGCGCTGTCCATCATTAATAAAGCCGAAGCCTCAAATATTTGAAAATTCTCACAATTAAAAAAATTTTTTTTTAAGAAGTGATATTCGATGGTTTGGAGATTTTTTGATAAAAAAAGAAAAAACTTGATCCACATATAAATATATCTTCAAGTGATAGTCGATATACATCCTTGCAATCATGGGATAATGATAATATTCTTCACACTTACAAAACAATTGTTAACCTCTCTATTCTTTCAACACGTACTGTTGACCTTGATATCTGGTCTTGGTCCACAGTAATTTCAAGGTTTATAGTATTGGTATATACAATTGTGCCGCCAGTTGACCTCAGGAGAGGACTACAATTGTATACATAGGTTGTTGAAATATATGTATAAACCAATTTGCATTTAGATGACGAGGACTGCGATGATGTGCTATGTCCATTCTGCAATGGTCGCTCATCAGGGACCAAATGTTGTCCTTGCCCTTGAGATTAATATCCAAAAAAGTAAGTCTCATTTTTAGTTTATTCGGTATGTATCCGAGACTACCAAATGTAAAATAGTCACAAACTGCATATAAGTGTAATAGATATAAGGTATCTAAAATCAGATAGAAATTACTATGACAAACAATGAGAAAACCATGTACCCCAAATGATAATTTAAAAGCAAAGTGTGTTCAATTCCATATTTTATTTGAAAATGATCATTCAACACTTTGAAACAAACAGGCCACTGGAATTTCCGTTACATTGATATACTTGTAACATGAAAAGCTTTAAAACGTTAAACTGTAATTACCTTGGTGACGTAATTTCTCGACGCATACCGAGTGCAAGTCAGACGCGTGTTGTTTAAAAGTTGACACGTATTTTTATATTTACAGCAATTATCGTTTAGACGACTTGGGGGATTTATTTCAACTTTATTCAATTCTATAGCGACTATTAATTAACATGCAACAATGATAGCTTTACAAAATGATTTGTTCTTGATTCATCAATGTGTATCTGTTTCAGTTTTGAATTCTGCAAAACGATGACGAACACGGCAATGGCATGGATAATTCTCAACTTATGTTGCACCGTTTAAGTGTCAACTCATAACGTGTTTAGTTAAATAAATATTTATTCAGCAGCAAATATTTCCTTTCTTCAGTTAGATTTTTTCAATCACTATGAATTGTTGTCTACCCACATTCAACACGGATTCCCCTTGGATTTTGGCAATCAACGTAGATTCCACATGGAATAATATGAGGTTATATAATGGTTGATTCCGTATATCGTGTTTATACTCAAGTCAGTATATGATATATTCGCGAGTGACTGAAGGAAACGAGTGAATATATCATATACTCACGAGAGTATAACGATATACATCTAATCAACCATTATATGATCTTATTATCCCACCCTAATCTTTAATCAATAAAAGGTTATTATAAATTCAACAGTTGTATATCAAGTCGAGGAGTTGTATACGCTGCCCAGAAGTTGTATAGTTACGCTATCCAGGAGTTGTATAAGCTATCCAGAAGTTGTATATCGTCCTCAAGAGTTGTATACGATAGGTGTTGGTTTTATACTGCAGTTATACAATGCTATTATACAATCATATAAAGCACTAAGAGTGGGATAATTCATGGTATGACTATCGAATATGAAGGATCGGTACACTATAGCGCAGCAACATTCAATATTTTTCCTCATCTGTCTCATCCTGTCTATGCTACAACATTTCCATTATTTAGATTTAAAGATGGCGGCTATACTAATGTAAATTATGATGGCAATAGAGCACGATGATAACCCTTTACGTTATTATGCTCAATCAAATCAAAAATTTATATGAGATTATATTATGAAATTTATTAAAATTACTCAATTAATTTACAAAACATTGATAGAGGAAATTCCTCGTCTGCCTCATCATAGCTACGTTAGAGGGCATAAGAATTTTAAAAGGAAGGTCTGTGTATCTAGTTCGTACAACTCTCAAGTTCGATGTTATTTGAGAAAGATTTGTATGTGGTTTGTGGTAATGCCACTTAAAAATGATTTGAACAATATTCTAACGATATTTGTTTAGAATTGTGTTCTTTCATCTTTTTTACGACAAAGTAGCCTCGTTTTAATTTCTCTCTACAAACTAAATTCTGGATTGATTGATTTAATGATATTTACTTATCTCACCGGGTATAAGTCAATCCGAACCCGACTGATAACACGGTTATCTAGAAAACGAAATTGTGCATAATGTTGTTCTGTTCAGAATTGGGGACTCAACTTTCGCAATAATTTAACATGAAAAATCGCATCTTCTCCCAAAATGATCATTTAAACTAAAATCGTCATGAATTCACTTGCATTACCTCTCTTAATTTTTTGAGTTCATCCGTTATCCAAGCCAAGATTGTCTATTGGCGTAACCAATTTGCAATTCACTTTCCAGATTTTCTCATGTATAGAAGATAGGGTTTCAACAGGAACAGTGTTTCTGTTTCTGAAAGTTGGGTGCAGCCACTTTTAAACATGATGCCAACCTCATTGTGTTCTATATTCTCATAATTGAAAAAATGTATCCACAATATCAAATGGATACAAAATATCGATTGTCAGGGTCGTTGTTTCAACTTATTGTGATCACAAATAGGATCGTCATGTTGTCTACATTACGATAAATGTAATTCTATATTTCTAACATTTAATTGCCCGTAATGTCATTACAGCCCACCAGCATTGTCTCCAATCGTTTTTTATCGTTTTTGATTCTATAGACCATGATTTAATAATTGCAAGTTTATTTTTTAAACGATAACCAAATTGGAATATTTTTAAATTGCAAATTGTCATATTGTTCCCGTAAAAATGATTTCAAATAAAATGGTTTTATTGTGAGTTTCATTGAAATGATTTCGAAATGTTCAAAATAACGTGTGAATAAATATATACTTATACAAGTACTTGTCTATGTAAAATTCACATTGCGGACAGACCTTCTAAAAAACTCATATGGAAAATATACTTTTGAATATGTGTTATTGAAAGAAAAATGACGTTAACAATAAGTTATACCTTGGCTCTACTTGTATTCGGACTATCGTGTAAGTATGATACGTATTTATTATGAAGACTTATGATTTATTTTGATACAATAATTAAAAATTGAGTGTAACATACATGACGATATTCACTACTTTGGTCTGATTGTTGAGTTTTACCAGAGTTTTAATAATTGCTACATTTATGCTTGGTAAATATATTAAATTTTTCAAAATACGTTATGTTTAATATGTCATTTTAAGAACATGATTGAGTGCGTTGAAATATATTCACAAATTGTTATCTTCGAGTATTTGTTTTCAATTTTATTCATTTTGGAGATTTAGTAGTAGCTTCTCGCATTGCAGTTGCGGAAGGACATGGCGACGAAGGACCATTCAACAAATGTAAGCAAATGTGTGGGAAATACAGACTCGGAAAATGTAGTTCCACTTGTCGAGTCAAGAAGGTTTGTAAATCCAAGGCCTCGTTCTATAATTTTAATCCTTTTGCTACTTTTCTAATCCCGCCATATTTGAAAGTGTCACGTTATCAAATTGTTTAGCATTATCTTATTTCTTCATAAATACTTTTTTTAGAACAACAAAAGGTGCACACGGCAAAATGGTTGAAAATAATTGAAAACGCGACTATATTAAATTTAATCAATTCATTTAGCAGTTTGAAGTTTATGCCATGAGGTTAAACTGGTTTACAAAGATGTGACACGCACAATTAATGACTTTGTTGCATGTTGATGTTGACCCTTATCTGGTCTAATTTGATTTGGCGATGCAACATCTAGAATTTTCTTGTTGAACTATCGGTGATTGTATCCACGAATTTTGCATCTGATAATGTCATATTTGGAGGTGATTTTAATGTAGTGTTAAATAGAGAGGTAGATAGATATTCTAGGGCTATAGTAAGTCAACAAAAGGACCTATCTAGAGATTCTTTGATTGAGTATATGAATCGTTTTGACTTAATTGACGTATGGAGACACCAAAATCCCACAAAATTCCAGTATACATACGAATCTTATGCTAAGGATAATATGCAAAACTCTGTCAGTAAAAGTCGAATTGACATGTGGCTTATTCAAAGACATATGATTAAAGAATCAGAAAGCAAAATAGTGCCATCAATTAAGTCCGATCATAAATGTATTGTGTTAATTATTAACTCATCTGTCACTCACAAAGGAGGGTCGGGTTTTTGGAAAATTAATAATAAATTAATAGAAAATGAAGCATATCAAAAGTTAATTAAGGAACTTATCGCTAAAACTAAAACAACTCTGAATAACGCTGATGATATTCAATTTTGGGAATATTTGAAATATCAGATTAAAGTAAAAACTATTGAATTTTCAAAGCAAAAGGCAAGGGAACTACGGGGAGAGGAAATAAAGTTGTTGAAAGTTATTGAAAGCCTGGACTCTGAACTAGTTAAGGATGATTATTTGAATGAAAAAGCGTGTAGAGAATATGACGATGCAAAATGTAAACTAAATGATATATATCAATATAAAGCAGAGGGGGGCATCGAGAGATCAAGATCTGACTGGGTAGAAAAATGGGAAAAAGCACACACTACTCCTTCAACTTAGAGAAATCAAACTATTCAAAGAAAACTATAACTGAATTAAATGTTGATGGTAATGTGGTGACATATGAGACAGATATACTTAACCAAATTAAAGCATTCTATGTAGATCTTTATGACTCCAAGGCTAAAGCTGACACACAAAAGTTCGTTAGTTTTGAGAAAGATCTTAACATAAATAAGTTAAATGAACATGAAAAGGCTTCATGTGAAGGTTTACTGAGGGTCGATGAATGTTATAAGGCCTTGACAAATATTAAAAATAGAAAAACCCCGGGGAGTGACGGGTTGAGTACAGAGTGGTATAAATGTTTTGGAATGAAATCAATGAAATGCTTATTAAGTCTCTAAACTTGTCATTTGAAAAGGGTATCCTCTCAGTAAGTCAAAGACAGGGTATTATCTCGTTAGTACCAAAGGGGGACAAAAATCATTGGTTTTTGAAAAATTGGCGCCCAATCACGTTACTTAACATTGACTATAAGATTGCATCTAAATCAATTGCGCTCCGTATTAGTGTTATTTTGGCGAAACCTATAGGGCCCGACCAGACAGCCTTTATCAAAGATCGTTTTATTGGCGAAAACATACGGTACCTAGAGGATATTCTTGAATATTCTAAGAAAAAGTGCATTCCAGGCATTATTTGCATGGTCGATTTTTTTAAAGCCTACGATAGTGTTGAATTCGATTATATAGATGTGTGTATATATTATGTGTTGAGACTTTTTAATTTCGGGGACACACTAATTAAATGGGTAAAATTATTCTATACAGATATAAAGAGTTGTGTTTTGAATAATAATAGATCAACTGGCTGGTTCGATATTAAAATATCATGTAGG